AATTCTTTAATTTCTATTGATTATATTTGAGGTATTATTTTTTTTGTTCACAAATTTAATTTCTTCTGTAATTCTGATTGCTTCTGTTTATTTTTAACTTCTTTACATTGATAGAATATGGTAGTCTTCTTTGTTGTTCCATATAGATCTCACTTTCCTTATTCTCTGATAATAAGGTTGCTTCTACAGTCAAATAATTAATCGGCTTCCTTGGTTTCATGGGTTTTAATTGGATTCTTTCTGATAAACAGTCATGTACTATATGTCTAGGTTCTCCATATTGGAAACAAATAATGGGCTTCTTTTGATTGAATAAAAACTATACATATGGTAGAAATTGATAGATCCTTGATACAATTTGATGCAATTATTTGATACAATTAATTGAGTCACTATTAAAACATATAAAATAATTGAGTCAGACACAATTATTTTTAAGGATTTTGGCAATTGAATCAACAGTAAAATAATTTATACCACATGTATAATAAGAATTATATGAGTTGTCAGGCTTGTTTTTTCACTTGTTCTAAGAAAAGTTCGATTTGTTCAGCCAAATTTAATTGTATTTTCTCAAATTTCTTGATTAATTGATCCATTGGATCCTAAGTGTTCTTGACAGTATTGTATTGTATAGGTCACACTGATAGTTCCTTAGAATTGTTCATATCTTGTCCTGCTTCATATAATTAAGCATATTTAACTGCTATTTGAATTCTTGTCAGATTATTCATGGAAACAATAAGAGCCAAGTATGGTAATAGTTCTCAAATAAAATATTGGAGCTTTTGATAGTCATTCATTTCTTCATACAGGTCTGCTTATTTTATTAATTTCTTGAATGCAACATAATAGAAATTAACAGGTTCAGTAGGTTCTTGTTTTCTTTGTTTCAAGTCTTTGGTCCATTTGTTGATTCATTATTGAGTGCAAAATTCTTTTATAAATGCTTTTCTGATATTTTTCTATTTCATTACATCATTGTCTGCATGGTTCTTGTCATAATAAGTAGTTCACTATTTTTCTGCTTTATCCTGTAAGTATCTATTAAACATTTATAAAAGCCTTTCATTTTTTCAATTGTTAACTTTTAAGACTTTTTCAAAGGCTGAGAGCCAGATAATTAGATCTTAAGTACCATTTCTATTAAACAGTTCAATTTCAATAATATTCTAATAGGTATTAACCTTGAGATAGTTGAAAATGTCCTGAGAAATAGTCATATTGTCAGGATTTTCAAAAAAAAGTTTCAAATCCAAAGAATCATTTGTAAACAAAAGGTTTTTTTGATATTTAATAAATAGAGAAGTGGGTAGGATCAGATGACTTAAAAAATAGGATAATAAATCAGATGATTCAGAAAGGTTTTGAAGAGAATCGATTATAAAGTATTCAAATTTTACTAGGGCTTGAAAAAGGTAATAAGAATTTTATCAAAAGAAAGGGGTTGAATATATCTTATAGAAAAGATAAGTTATCTAATAATATAATCTTGATTAATAAAAAAACAAGAAAGTAATTATTGAAAATATTTCAGGATTTTAAACATATAAGTAGTAGCAGAAAATTTAACTTGAAGCTAATACCAAAAGATTAAGAAGATGGTGGTTGGTTCTTCAGGAAGATAACAAAGTTTACAAAAATTATTTGAATAGAATGGATGCTTTTAATTGATATCACTATTTGGAAATAGCTTATAAAACACATTGTGTAATTGATTAGTAATATAATATGTTTTAAAAATACTTATAAAATAAAATACTCAATCCTTTGCTAGACTTTGAACTGTTCTTACTCTTAATAATAAATACCTCCAATACTGAATAAAGATCCAGTTCTTTTTATATAATTTTTCAATTTTACAGAGTGGTGTATCTTACAGTTATTACCAATTTGTCAACCTATTCAATAAACCTTAAAATTGAATAGATTAATGAACAACTGTAGTAGGAAGCCACTTACAGAGGATGGACATATTATTGTGAACACTTAAAAAAAATTTTTTAAAAAAATTGTACATAATAAAATTAGTTAAAATTTTTATAGTATATTTATTATATGTTAATATATATATGTATGTATATAAATAAATAAAGTTATTATTGAAAAAATTTTTATTGATATTTTTTTTTTCGTGACTTTTTCGTGATAACCTCTTTTCTATTTTTATATGGGTACCAAAAAAGATCTCACCGATGTACAGAGAGCAGCCATAATTTATGGCTATAAAAATAATGATTTCTATTATACTATTGCAGCTCAAGTTAGTTGTAAAAAAACAGCTATGGGTTCAGTAGTTAACAAGTTTTTGAAGACCAGATCAGTCGTATCACGAGCAAAAAAGATTGGACGATCATCAACTATTAACTGTAACATTCTTAAAAAGCTTGCTATCAAGAATCAGCGTTTATGCGCTGTTAAGTTGAATTCTCTCTATTATAAAAAAATAAAAAAAAAGGTATTAGAAAAGATTATTCATTATGCTCTTCATAAGAAGCAGCTGAAAAGTTGCATCGCCCATAAAAAACCACTCATTTCAAGTGATAATGTTGCAAAATGTCTTGCCTGATATCATAACCACAAAAAGTGGACTGTAAAAATTTTAAAAAAGTATTATGGAGTGACGAGTCCACGTTTACCCAGTTTTAGCAAGCACGAAACTGTCGAGTCTGGCATGAATCAAGTGAAGAATAGGATCTTGACTGTTTAATTGCCACCATCAAACACAACCCAAGTCAAATATACTGGGGTGTTTTTCCTGGTTCGGAGTCGGCCCTCTAGTTTCTCTATATAAGTTGGTAAAGGATATGTATATTAATGAAGAAATAAACAAAAAAGAGATAGAAAAAAGAGTGGATAGTAGATAAGAGAAAGGATAGATGAACGAATGCAAGAGAGAGTGGATGAACGGGAGAAAGGGTAGATGGATAAATGGGAGAAGGGAAAAAAAATAAAGTAAGGATGAGATATATATAGACAGGCATGATAACAAAAAAATGACGAAAAAAAAAAGTGGGAAAAAAAAGAATCAGAAAATGGAGACAGAAAAGCGAAAAGAAAAAAAAACGAATTTTTTTTTTTTCTAAATTTTTTTTTAAATTTTTTTTAAATTTTTTTACAGCAATATCCTATGTCAACATACTTAAAGAATATCTCTTACCGGAAATTGATAATATTCTTAATTGGTCTTATAGTGGCCATCCCATTTTTCAGCACAATAACACACTCCCACATATCGCAAAGATTACTATGGCGTTTCTTGACACTAATAAAATTCAGATTATGGACTGGCCACCTCAAAGTCCAGACCTTAACCCAATTGAAAACTTGTGGCATATTGTTAAACAACAGGTTTTTCAAGCTAAACCTGCAAGTCTTATTGATTTGGATCAAATTGTTCAAAAATGTTGGAATGACATATCTCTATTGATGTGTCAGTGATTGATCACAAGTATGCCACAATGAATTGCGGCTTGCATTGCAGCTGAAGGAGGGTTAACAAAATATTGATATTAAACTAGGAAATGGAAGCCATTATAAATCCGAAGCTAAATTTTATTATAAGTTAATAAAAAAAAATTTATAACACGTGCATGAAATATTATTTGTTAATCTGAATGCAGGACAGAACGACATTGCATACACTTTTGTCTAGAAATATTAATCCTTCGCTATGCTTCGGATTAATAAATAATTTTAATTTTTTTTTTATTAACATCAAATAAAAAGTTAAACTTTAATAAAAACTATTTATTGATAAAAATCGCAAATATTATTATAATAAAGGTTTTGTAATTTAATAAAATGTATTAGATATAAAATTTACTGTTAAAGCAAGTTTGTTAAAATATACAAATAGTTTTTATTATTAATAATAAAAATTGATATATACAATATAATAATTATTTTTAATTAATTATACAGTAATAAATTTTAATCATTATATTATTTATTTTTTAAAAACTCTATTATTTAGAATATTTAAAAATTTTTTTTTTTAATTTAATTTTTTTTGAATTAATTATTATTATTATTTTTTGGTTTTAAAAAAATATAATTTATTATATAAAAATAACAAATTAATATTTTAATATAAATTTCTTATAATATACATTATTGTAAAAAATTTATTTACTTATTATTTTCAACATATTATAAATTATTTTTTAATGTGTTATTGTATAAGTTTTATATTTTGTATCATTATATCAAATATTATATTTTTTTGATAACAATAAATATTGTATAATACAGTATATAATAAATATAATAAAAATATATACAGTATATATACAGTAAATAGTATCAAATGTTTTTTTTATTTAAAAAAAAAATCAATAAAAATTCTTTTTAATTTAATTTCATGTTTGAAAATTAATTTTAACGGTTTACATAAAAAATTTTTGTACAAATTTTATTATAACAATAGTAAATTTTTAAAATTTATTTGATATTTCTTTTTATTAATTTTCATATGGTAGCTTTTGAGTATTTATTAAATAACGAATTTGAAATGTTTTTATATGCTGCATAATAATAAATATTTGGACATAAATTAGAATTTTTCTAGAGAAGGTAATATGAATGCATTTACTTAATAATAATTATTTCTTTTGCTAAAAAAATAAAATTTAAAATTTAATGTTTATTTTGCGTAACATTATCTAGTTTAAATAAAAACAGCATTTTAAAAATACACTCAATAGATCTTTATATTTCTTGATTTAAATCTAATTATGCATTTTCAAAGTGAGTTTAAATATGTGTTAAAAATTTTAGAAGTTCTATCCGATGAATACGAATTTATTGACCAACGGTATACAGTATTAAATCTTGTGTAAATATTTTTCAAGTTTTTGACAATATGGAATTAAGTAGATGAGATTCAAATATTTTTATATATTATAGTTAGTTGACATTTAGAAATTCATTGATTTATACGTCCTTAATAAAGTTAAATCTAAATAATAACCAATAAATTCATTAAGATTCTAGCGCAATTACATTTGTGAAGCAGAATTAATTTTAACGATTAACCCTTTTTCCCGTTCTAGTAAAGATATTTGTTGATTATTAATTTCTATATTTTTCTCCTCGAACCATTTCTCAACATAATTTTTATCAAATTCGTCGGGGATAGCTTGAAGATCGGTTTCACAATAGGGAATAATGTTAATATAAGATATACAGTTATTGATGATGACGTTTGCATGGTTTCTACATTTGTCGTAATGCATTTTTATTTGTTCATTATCAGGATTTCTCACGAGGGTAGATAGCTCGTCTTTAAGAATGTTAAAAAATTCTTTAATGCATATCACAGAACGAATAAACTTATCTATTGATTTATTAAGTTTCTCGATGTTATGCGCCGCTATTTCTGCCAATTTTGCTTCTTCATTTTTTGCGATTGTGTTGGATATCTCCTTTTCAGCCTTAATCATGAAATTTATATTGTAACGCGGGAATCTGTCTGCTAATGAATAATTAAGTCCTGCTAAAGGTCGTAATTGCGTAACCAGTTCACGATTCAAGATCGCATTTTGTTTCAGTGCTTTTAAAGCCGTGATTGTATTTCTCTGTTCAATTTCGAAGCTCTTAAGAATTTCTTCGTGAATTCCTGCAGTAGAATGTGAGAGTTCATGTTGTTTGGAAACCCACGTGGAAAAATCATCAATATTTTCTTTAAATATTTCAAAAGGTAGCCCTTCATAAGTTTCAATCCAATCTTTGACTCCTCTGACAACTAAAACTGCAAACGGCAAGATCTTTTCGTTATAAACCTTGGCGTTATTTGTAATTTTACCACGAAGATCAACAAATTCTTTAACAGAAGAGGGGCTGTCAACATAGCATTGGCGAAGGCAGGTACAAGAATATTTAAGGTAGTATGCTGCGTTCTTAATATTTTCGTTTAGTTCCTTAAAGTGCATGTCGGAAATTTTTAATACATCTTGCATATCGTTAGGTTCAGAAGCAGTGGAATTATTTTCACTCTGTAGGGAAACATTTGAACTTTCAGGTAAACTCATAATTGTTTTGTTGGCAATTGACTAAACAACTGTCCCTTTTATAGAAGTTTTACGGAAATCACGTAAGGGCTGCGGCCCATACACGATAAGAATTCGAAGAAACAGGCAACATAACTTGATGACTCATCAAACTTTATTACAGCTCTGCATTTTTAATTTCGACTTAATAGGAAAGATCAAAGATTCTGTTTCGTAAACTTTAAACTTTTTTACTGTAAGTGCATTATGTTAGTTATAGTATCGTATCTACATGTGAGAATAATTCTTTTCTAGGGTGTTAAAATCATTGATATATTAGGTTACGTTAAAAGAGACAGCAGTATATACTGTGCTTTTATAAATTTCCAGTGAAGTACAATAAGTCAAGTGGAGACCTCTGACATATGAATTAAAAATTAATATGCAGAGATTATAATTTCTTTATTATTTGTTTACTTCATTACTTATTTTCTTCCTTCCTTCATTCTCCGTTCTTCGTTTTTTCCTTCATCCATTCTTTCTAAATATGTCAATACTATTGATAAACTAAACCTGTTATATACAAATTGCTTCCAAAAAAAGACTGATAAAAAAAAGTAAACGACAATCTATAAAATAAAAATTTATTTCTCATGACTGCAATGAATTAATCCATAAACAAACCTCTCATTCACTCGATATATTAAGATTTCAATGAAACCAGTGCCACAACAGTCAAATACTGTAAGTATAAATAGATCAAATATCTCTTTTCTCCCATGACAATTTCATTACAACATGCATACAAATGACAGCATATTATCCGAGGTTGATACAATTACAAAAGCGATTGACGATGCAACATACAGCCTCAAATCAGCTTGTAGTGGCCTTCGTTTTTGTTACCTTAGCGATGTCTCTAAAGAATTCACCGAACTTCGTGGAGAAGCAACAAATTATGCCATGGTTTATAAAGAAATGATCTTTCCATTCGCAGATCTAGTAGTTAATAACATTAAAAATTTTTGTGATAATCATCAATTCGATTTTGACACTTTTAAAGACTGTATTGATGATTTTAAGGAAGAAGCAGATAAAAAGCATAAGTTAGCCATGTATACCACGGAACTTCATAAGAAAATTCTCAAAGAATTCAAGCAAGAAGAAGATAAAGCAATTAAAATTTATAATATATCCGAATTAGAAGTTAAAAAAATTAAGGAGGAGGTGGAAAAACTACAAAGTTTGGAAGAAATAAAAACATGGGTGGATGCATTGATCTTAATACCCCTGAATTCGATTAATCGAATTAGAGCAATTATAAAAAAGGGACAGCTTAAACGTCAAGAGGCTATAAAAGTTGCCATTGGCTTAATTCGCGATGAATCAATAAAAAAATTTACGATTTCTTTAGAAAAAATAGCAGGGTTTTTTAATAACCTAAGTATGTATTTATCTTCTCTTACAGATGAGAAATCCATTAGGCTTTATTATCATGCAAGTAAATATACGATGGAAAAAGTTTCCCGAAGCTGTTTAAATTTCATATCGAATATTCCTGCTATTGAATCCGATCTTGACGCTATTAAATCCGATATTGACGCTATTGGCTATGAATATAATGAGAATTATGTAAATAGGTGGTATACTGAGCAGAAAGTTAGAATTAACGGTCGGGAAATGTCTTTTTTAGAACATGGAAAAATATTATTTGCCGAGGATAGACGTATCTTACGAATGTTAGGAATAGATAATGAATGAACACAATCTTTGGTTTTCAATTAATTCCGATGTATTTCGAAATATTTTTTTTTTTTCTTTTTGTCATAAGTTCTTGAAATAAACTTCTTTTACTTCATAAGTTTTCTTAAAACCGCGAAACGATGTGTCGTTACTTTGACTTAAATAAAAAAAATTAATCACAACTATTTCCGTGCTAGTCTCTGTAAGCAAAAAGATAATAAAGACAAGAACCCAGGTTTTACGTAACATACTCGACCAATCTAGCGCGCCTCATCACCATTAAATTATACCCATCTTACCCACGGTTACATGAAACCTTGCTATTCTTAGCAACTGATTCGTCGTTACACCATCACAATATCTTCCATTTATTGAATATACTGTATATTGTAACAGGTAAGTTGGGACGCGACGAATATCACGTGACCGATCGTCGCGAACAGTGCACGATTATCTAATTGTAGGGAAGGGATTGTGAAAAAGAATTATGTAATTTAGACTTGGCTTTGGCAATACTTATTACCTATTGTTCTTGAGAATATAGCCGTATTAGCCTCTATAAGTACAAATAATATATAAAAAGAAGAAGACAAAATTAATAAAGTGAACCAAGTTTTATAATAAAATACTTGACCAAATCAAGCACGCCTCATTAACATTAATTATTACTCACCCTATCCGCGGTTACGCAAAGTCGTTCATCCTTAGCGACTGACTCGCCGTTACACCTCCACAATATAATTATTTAAATAATATAAGTTTTATTTTTTTTTTCATCAAATATTATTATAATTTTAAAATACTCAGACAATTTTTATAAAAAAATTCTCTTAATAATAATCTAAAAATTCAGAAAATTATTAAAAACTGATATATGTTATTATATAAATTTTATAACTATTATTTAAACAAGTAATCTATTATCAATAAATCTTTTTTAAACATGTATTCAAATTTTTTATTTTTAAAATTTTTATCAACTATTTAAATTTAAATTTTACAAATTTTATTAAATTTAACGGAATTTTTAAATATATACAGAATATTATATATTTTATTTTAAAAAATTCTTTACTAAATATTTTTTCTTACTAATTTTTTGAATAATATTTTAAAATAATATTTATTAATCATTACAAGATTTCAAATTTATATAATTCAAATACTTTTTTTAATATATCTTTCTAAATATAGCCCCCCTAAAAATTTTTTCTTTTTGGTTTTTCTTTTTTTTTTTCGATTAAAATATTATGTTTACTTTAAAGTTTTGAAAAAATAATAGGTTCAACTTTTTTTTTATTTTTCTTTTATATAAGCAATTTTTAAAAAAGATTATTTCTTTAATTTAAACAGGTTAAGGTCAGAATAAATTTATTATTATTCTTCTTTTTAAATTATTAATATTTTATCTTATATTTTTTATATACAATAACTTTTACACTATTTTTTAAACTGTTGATATTAAAAATTTTTTTTGATATTTAAAGATTTCTGATTTGATATTATCAATTATACTATTAAGTTAAAAATATTTTTAATTAAAAATTTGTTTTATTAATTGCATTCTATTGTGATCTTTTTTTAATATCATTATATTATTAAATGAATTATTATTAAAGTAATAATAAGCTATATCAAATAATAATAATAAAACCATTTAATACTATAAATTCAAATCAATATTTTTAAAAAAATGATTTAGAAAAAAATTTAATAAGATCGATAAATAATGAATTCAAAAACTTTTTTTTAAAAAAAAATAATTTATTTTTTCTATTTTCAAAATTAAAATCAGAATATAGTTTATTTCATTAATAAGTGTTGCAAAAATATAAATAAGTATATAGACTTTGAAAAAAATTTTTTTTAATTTATTTGGAAAAAAACAAATACTTTTTAATGCATCTTGATTATTTTTTATTTCATATGATTTTACTTTATTGATAATATAAATATCAATCAAATCGTTTTTCTTTCTTTTTTATTAACTCTATAAAAATGATAAATAATTATATAATTATAATAATAATATTTTTACGTTTTTTAAATGTAACAAAATTTCATATACAGTATATTTGTCATAAGTTTTTAAATAAATAATGAATGAATATTATTATTATTTTAAATAGCGAAATTTTTGAAATACTGTATATACTGTATACAATAAATAAAAATCTTTACCGCGTACTTACTAATATAAAAAAACAATACAACATAAATGATCGATGATTTAGTCAGACTTTAGAATCAGTATTAAAAAGATTGCTATGATTATTTTTTTTTTCTTCTAAAGAAAAAATGTTTCCCTGTTTTGAATAATGTTTAGGAAATGCATGACGGAATTGATAAATTCTTGGATTATTATAAATTGCTTTCGCCTGATCAAAAAAAAATATTGATCCATTTTCTATGAAGTGATATGTGGATAAATATTTTTAGACACTCTAGTTAAAATATTTATAGAAAAATATATAGAAAAAATTTTTCACGAGTGCATTGACTATTAAACAAAACAGCAAAGATTAATATAGATTAAATCTTATACTATCACACAGTATAATGGCTATTTTTTGCGGTTATTTATAGATTCCGGCTTTTCATAAACAATCAAGTACTGCGGAAGGCATGCCTCCTCCCGATAGACCACCAATTCATCGGCAGGGAGTTTTC